TGAATGTTTCCTCTCAAGATCTGGACATAAAGTAGAATTGACCATTTAAAAACATCTTTATTTGTGGGAAGTTTGTTAAAATGTCAGTAGCTGGAGGGTTTCAGAGGTGTGTTATTGAACATTATGTGTGTTAGGGGACAATATTTTCTCCAAGGAAGAAAAAGTTCTGTGCAGATATAAATTTCTCAGACAGTGTTGCAGGCTGGTCCTAATGATATGCTTTTATGGAAAAATGATTTTCACTGTCAAAAACAAAGCCTTTGCATGAAAGAGAACTTTTATCTCTCCCCTCTCTAGAACATGTGTGGGCAGAAAAATGCAATTAATTCTTTCAGGGATTCAGGAAGTATCACCTATTGGACCTACAAACTAGCCAAATTGCTTTCATTTGAATACAATTTGGAATTGGCTCAACTAATCACTGTTTCCTAATTGCATTTTGGAGGAAAAAGGGGACCTGAATGAAGAGACTGCATCTCATTAAAACAGCAGAGTGCTTGATGTCTGCTATTGTACCTGATATCTGTGACAACAAGTGGCATCTATTTTTGCAAGTAGCAGTAATTAAATCTGCACAGTGTTTATAAACAACACACTCACTTTTTATTACATCTAAGCAAAAGTGTATTGTACTAGAGACTGTAAACAAAAATCAACCCCAACCTCTGTTCTCTTAAAATAAGTCCATAAACATTGTCAAGGGACAAAGCATGACTTCTATGCTTTTTCTATAACATATATTCTGTCAGGGTAGTGTAAAAAGAATTTGGCAGCACAAGAGGAGTACAAGAAAATTTTTCTTATGTAACATCCCACTGAAATTGCCCAAGGACAGTACCCAACAGAGACCTACAGGACCCTAGTACCTAAAGGGGTCCTACAGGAACACTGGAGAGAGACTTTTTGCAGGGGCATGTACTGACAGGACAAGGGAGGAAAGCCTTAAGCTACAAGAGGGTAATTTAGAATAGATACTGGGAAAAAATCCTTTACTATGACAGGTTGCCTAGAAAAGTGGCAGCTGCCCCTACCTTGGAAGTGTTCAAAGCCAAGATGGATGGGGCTTGGAGAACCTGGTCTAGTCAAAGGTATGCCTTCCCATGGCAGGGGGTTAGAACTAGATGAGATTTAAGGTCCTTTCCCACCCAAGCTATTCCACGATTCTCTGATCCAATGATAGGGGAGAGGGATGCACAAGATCAACATCTTGCCTGGAGAGAAAAGCTGCTGATCTGCAATAATCTCAGCAGTTAAATTTTCCCATCAGGGCAAAAAGTGACAAGGATGAAGATGCAGCACAAGTGGGCACAAGTAGTTTTGACAGAACGCTTTCTATTGGAAAAATGCCGATTTCTGAAAGTGAAACGTTCTTCGGGAATGTGTCAATTCCAGGAGGAGCAGGGCTGACAATAAACCTGCCTGTGCTCCTGCCAGTTTACCCACCAATCTGCCTTCCAAGAAACTTTCAGTCTTAGTAAAAATGCCTCCAGATACCAGTGTAAAAGGGATCAGCAATCAGATATCAGGTGAGCAGAAGGCGAGACTCTCCAGTATCTGAGAGTGGAAATGCATTCACCTCAGCAGAGCTGCCATGAATGTATTTCAGGATATATAAAATCTTGTTCTTGGGATCGTCAAGACATACTATTGAATTTCCTTTCTATGTATATTTGCTAAGCAATTTCCTTCCTTTTTTAAAAATGAGTTTTGCCTCCACTATGACATTTTTTCACAGAAGTGACATTCTGTTTTTTAGCTAGCTTTTCCAGGAGGACTGGGGGTGCTCTTGAGAGATCCAGAAACTGTTCAGTGTGTAACTTTGAAAATTTAGCAAATCTTCTGCTAAAGCATCTTTCTCTCAGAGGGCAAAAACATTTAGCTCAGAGCAATAGAGACATTTGTAGAATAACTAGACCAGGAAGATAAGAGCTGTGCTATGGTTAAGGCAGGGTCTTGGCATTCAAGGCTCCATAATTCAGTACAGCATTGTCAAATATGTATTTTGCAGTCTCACACAAATACCTGGTTTCTTGATATCTTTTTTTCAGTCATGAAACAAAGGATGCAAAAGAATAGTATGTTTAAGTTGCTCATGACAGTGGTCTTCTACTGTGTATCACAAATGTTTAGGACTTGGCATATTACTATATACCACAAAAATATGGAAACAGTACTATAAAAAACACTTCAAAAGCTTCAACCAGCAAAATAAAATTTTCTGTCTCTTCCTGCACAGAAATTACAGATGCAGGTTATCACATCATGGTTTTCAAATCCTGGAAACAGTATGAGCATTTTCTTTGCAAGTGACTTTTTACCCTCACTTCTCTGTAGAAAGAAAAAATTCTCTCTTTTTTCTGCTTTTGATTTCCTCTGGTTTTCAGTCTGATGTGAATTGGTACAGCCAGAATATAGCTCTCAATATCCAGCACAGTGCTGCTGATTAGTTTTCTGAAAGAGGACAGAGTGAAGAAGAACGGCAGGTTATATTGATTTACTTCTAATGATCTGTTTCTGAACTAGAGCTGGGCAAAGTGTTCTCCCGAAGGCACATACAGCTGTGCTCATGGCTCAGCTCTGCATTACTATCAGGATTAAAAGCCAGTAATGGATTCTGTCATGTTGCTGTATCTTTCTGCATTTTTTTTTTTTGCAAGCCCCATATGGGGTTAGCTGCTGAGGACATATATATGACTTTCCCTTGCCATCTGTTGAGCAGTCTGGAGAAGGGCACCCATACTCTGTTACAGAAACAGTACATCAAAATAGCATTGCACAGCTATGGCGTGTTTAGAGGGAAATTGTCACATGTAGTATATGCCTGTATTTTGTTGGAGAGTGTGTCTCTCCATGATTTTGGCTTAGACTGGGATTTTTGAAGCCATGAATACAACGTGTGTGAATGGGTGATATGGAAAAGCACACATGAACAATTTTTTGGGGACCCTGACTCTGAAGGTCAGGATAGATTTTTTTCTTTAAATAACTGGTGCCATAATAGGACTGTAACTTGCTCTAAATTTGATAAATGGTACTCAAAAATATGTGTGTCAGACAGAAATAACTGATTCTTATGTATTGGCTTATTTCTCTTTCTCTTTAGATTTGCTTTCAACAAATCTCTGTAGATCTGCTTTCGGTTCTCCTCATCATGATAGCTGGGAGAAGGGGTGGGCATTGTACAACATTTCCACCTATGTCTATGTAGTCCAAAGACAGAAAAGTCCTCACTTTTCCCATTCTTCCAAAAATCTGGTATTAACCAGCTCTTAGCCTAAGTACTATAAACATGATCAGGGTGTCATGGCTTTTGGAGTAACAAAATGCGTGGTAATGTAGTTCTTTTTTCAGACCAGACATATGACCACTCAAACATGGATGTCACCTAACTCAAAGGCGTCTTCTAAATAATTTAAGTATTTTTGCAGCATTTTTAGAAGGAAGAAATATTTGTGTCTGACTTGACCCTACAATTAATGGTGTTCCCAGGATTCACTTGACTATGGGCAAATACATTTTAGGGTTGCCTCAAAAATGAAATGATTCAAGGGAAAATTGTATATTGCATATCTTCTGGCAGTTGCCATCTAGGTTTCCTTTGTATTATTTTTCATGTGATGCCTGAAGAAAATCTTGCATGATGGTTTATAAAAGATGGATACTTTCAGTCAACAAGGTGTTGTCCCCCCGGAGCATCTGTACGCATCTCATTTTTATTATTGCTTATTGATAAGTTGGCATAGCTGCAGTACAGAAGGAGTCTGAGTACTCTTCTAGTAGTAAATGACAACACACACACACACACACACATGCTAGGATGTTTTGTTCTCTTTCTACTGATGTAGAGTTTAAAATGCAGAAGAACAGCACCTACTTTTGGGTTATCAACTTGCAAAGCTTGTCTATTTCCCCTATGCTGACATACTCTTCCTTTCCCTGAATTCTTTTATTAATGAGTACTATCAATCTTAATCACATATTCTATACTTCAGTCTTCTTGTTTCTATTAGAACTCAAAGTAGACATACTGTAAAAATTTGTCTATTGTTTTATAAGAAAGAGTCCCACATATTATTACATTTATAACTAGTGATATTCTGTTAACAGTATAAAGTATGAAGGCCAATCATAATACTACACATCTTGAACTTAGGTATATTTTAACTAACCAATGGAGTGACTTCTGCCTTTGGGCTCCAGGGCTATGAGATTTCTTCTGCAACATCTTGGCATAATCCTATAATTCTTTTTCTCGTAACATCCACAACGCTAAGGTCTCATTTCCAAGGTGATTCACAAAACATCCAGAGCAACATTCTTTATTGGTATGTAGACTCTGAGATTGGCTTCTGCCCACAGCTTCCCTAAGGCACTTTTTCTAAAGAGAGGGTGATTTTTACTTGTGTGACTGCATGCCATTGCATGTGTGCACTGTCCCCATGTTTTCATGGTATTCAGTGCTTGTTTTTACGGTCTTCTTACTCAATAAGTCAATAGAAGAAAATACAATTTATCCATGAGAAAGATCCTATAAGAGAACCTTGGGCTGGGCTGCATGTGATTGTAAAAGTCATTCTTCAAAAATACCTGCAACAGGTCATCATTGAAGATATTATAAAAGTGCCCAATCATTTTCCACTAATATTAACATGTACTCCTTTATTTCTATTCGTTGAATTGCTAAGATAATTGTAGGAGTGTTGAAATCATGCAGTAAATTACGAAGTTGAAGCTTTTTTCCTGTTCTATTTTTTGGCACTACACCAATTCTTGTCACTTCATTCCTTGAGCAACAGTATATTAAGCAATGTGACAGATGTTAGTCACGTGTAGACTCTTACTTTTTAGTTGTTCACTTTATGTCACTTCCAATCCTCAGGTGGTGCAAATTAGAGCAGCACCACAGACTGATGATGGCTTATGCCAGGAGAAAAAAAATCTTCGTCTTAAACCTTAGTGATAAAACTCTTCTGAAACAAATTTGAAAATCTCCTCCCTTGGCTTTTTATTTTATTTTAGAACAAAAGGCTTGAAATAACTGTTTGCAGCACTCCTTCAAATGCTAAGTAGCTCTTTTACATTTCTTCCTAAGCTTGTACGCACACACAGATTTTAGAACTGGAATAAAAAGATGAAAAAGAAAGGGTGAATAGTCTTGAGCGATTCAATAAACTGTGAAAGGCTATGAATAATGGAAAAGTAGAATGAAATTATTAGAGACCTAAAAGCTAGGAAGATGACACCCACATTTTAATGTCAGAACTAAATGGACCATTTATATTACATGATTACCTTTGATTTTTCTCATGCTTGGTATTTTCACAAATTGCAAATTTAAAAGTACATACAGATAGGTTGAGCCATTATCTTTTCCCGCTGATTTTCACACACATTTAATGTGGGTCTAACCCCATTGTTCTTGATAGTCTGTTGACTTCATTAGCTTCCTGCTGATTTGAGCTGGTATTAGTAAAGTGGGAATCAGGTCCTGCCATGCAGCAGTGTCTCTCTTGAAGAAATTTTGAATGCAAACCTCTTGCCATTGTAGGAATGCCATTCAGTCATCTCAAATGGCATTCTGCTGAGCAGCTCTCCCTCCTTACAGTAGCTGAAAAATCAGAGCACTGTGAAATCAGAGAGGATAAAATTGGGACTGGAGACAATCTAATTTTGTTTCCTTAAAGAAATTTCCTAAATTTCTTCCCTTAAATTTCCTAAAATTTTATTTCCAAGTCATTTCCAACAGAAGCATCCTCTGCTGAACATTCTCATAATCAGCGAGATTGCCACATAGTTGTCCCAGAAACAAACTAATTAATCTTTTGGGAGTTTCTTCAGATAATTTATACATATCCTATCCCTCTCCCAACTCTGTTCTTGGGGGGGTTTTCACTGTTTTTTTTTCTGACCCATGAAGGCTGTTATACATACACATTCACAGTGAGAAACCTGGGCTTGGACAATTCTCTTTTCATGCTGTTGCGTTCCAAGGTCAAGTTCTTAATTATTAGCATGCAGTGAAAAAGTGGTCATCCCCAAATATACAAAAATTACATTTCTGACTTATGTGACACCAGTGTAGGCAGATGCATAACTTATGCTTCAAAGCATCAGTGCTTTGAAGCACTTTACCTTGCAAGTCTCAGCAGTGAGGATGGCCATGGTCTGTTCCACCTGTCACATATACAATCAGAGAGTTGTAGAATGGTTTGGATTGGAAGGAACCTTAAAGATCATCCAGTTCCAGCCCCTTTGCCATAGGTAGGGACACCTTGCACTAGACCAGGTTGCTCAAAATCCCATCCAACCTGGCCTTGAACACTTCCAGAGGTCATCATTCACATTTCCTGGTGACATATAAAGGTTTGTATGAGAGACCTGGGACTGCAGTGAGGGGATGGAAGTACCGTGTAAAAAATGCATAAACTCTAGGGTCTTGCACTGATTCTGATAAATAATTTCTTTGCAGCTTTCAGCACTATTAACATAATTTAAATTGCAGGTTTTATGCAGTAACTCTACTCAGATTGTCTCTGAGGGACTGCTAATGTGCTGCTCCCCCTTTCAAAGCTATTTAGTCTGGATATGCCCAGAGGGCTGTAAGGAGCCTTGAATTGGGGCCCGACAGTAAGTAGTGTTGCTTGCCTATGGCTTCGATACTGGGAACACATCAATGCAGCATTATTGCTTTGTTGAGACTTAGGCTTTATATTCCACCATCATAGCACAGAAAAAACAATAAAAGATTTCACATTGAGAGGTGAAAATGAATTCCAGTCTAGTTTGTCTCTTCCTGCCTAGTTTATATCTTCCCTGTAGCAAGACAACCACTTATTTATATGACTGAAAAGGGCAATTATACTCTTTTCTAATCTATGCAGTTTATACTGTTTGTTTATTATTTTAATTGGCGGCAAATGTTAGGCATTTATGTGTACATTGGGGAAAAAAAAGTAAAAAGCTCTTTCAATAAACTGTTTACTGTAGCTCTATCTCCATAAGGGAAAACCACTTGTAGTGTCAAAACTACCAAAGTACCATGGACTACATACAGATGGATTTGAAAATGTGTTGGTTTGATGGTGCTAAGCATTCTACATTTTACAGCAGCTCTTTCCAGTAGGATTTTGTTATTCACAGAACTTTCAGAACTTTGTAGACTTCAGTGCACAAAACTTGAATAATACATACTTGGGACAGAATAGCCAGTTCCGGCTAAGGGAAATGTCTTTTTTTTTTTTGTCTTTTTTGTTTTTCTTTTTTTTTATTCTATAAAAAATTTATTTTATACCAAAAGAAAGAAAAAAATTTGGAATGCTATTTTTTCCCCATAAACCTCAGATTTTTCCACTGAGTTGAAATGGAAGCCTATACATCTTCCTTTCTTATTACCTTTACTAGTCAGAATGCTTAAGAGTTTAAATTGGAAATGTTTGTTAAAGATCTAGTAGCTTTTGCATTTGCAAAGTGAATGAATACATACAAAATATTGGCCAAAATAAGCAAGCAGTGATTTTAATCATTGTCTGCAGATAATTGAGGGAGATAATTTTAAATCAAGGCTAGGAGAACTTCCATAAGCTTGTCCAAATAAACAAAAATCAAATTTACCATTACATAAGAAAAATGCCAATGTCGTCCACTTCAGGCTACCCTTAGAGCCAAGGCCATATTTGGAAGCTGACCATAAGCCTAGAGGTTAGAGGCTCACATCTACGATTCTGGAAGTCCTCAGATACACAGCTGTACCAGCACCATACAGGAGCAGTCTCTCCGTAAAACTACTGTAGACCCTCAGTAGCTTCCAGCATTTTGAATATGGATTGGATAAATAAAACAATAAAACTTGGCACTGTATCACCAATAGTTTGGTTTAGCTGCCTTTTTTCCTAAAGAATCCAAAAGGAAATTGCTTAGGGCAATCTCATTGAGTAGAATCATAGAATCACTAAATAATGGAATCACAGAACCATGGACTGCTTTGGGTTGGAACAGCCCTTAAAGATCATCTAGTTCTAACCTCTCTGTTTGGGGCAGACACCTCCCAATAGACCATATTACTCAAAACCCAATCCTACTGGCCTTGAACACTTACAGGTATGGGATGATCGCAATTTTTCTGGGCAATCTGTGCCAGCACCTCACCATTGTCATAGTAAAGAATTTATTCTTAATATCTAATTTAAGCCTACTCTCTTTCACTTAAAGTCATTAGTTCTTGTCCCATCACTTCCTACCCTTGCCAAAGTTCCTCTCCAGATCTCCTGCAGCCCCTTTAGGTACTGGAGTGTGTGATGAGGTCTCTCTGAAGCCTTCTCTTCTCCGGGTGGGACAGTCTTGACTGTCACCTCCATATCAGAGGTGATCCAGCCCTCTGAGCATCCTCGTGGCCTCCTCTGGACTCACTCCAGCAGGTCCACATATTTGTTGCATTGGGGGCCCGAGACCTGAACACAGTACTCCAGGAGGAGCCTTATGGGACAAGAATACAGGGGTAGAATCACATCCTCTTCTGGCCACGCTCTTGATGTAGGGTTTCAGGGCTGTAAATGCACATTGATGGGTTAGGTTTAGATTCTCATCAGCCAAGACCCTGAAGTTCTTCTCCTCAGGGCTGCACTCAATCTGTTCTCCACCCTGCCTGTATTTCATTCCTTGGGGAAGGAATAATTAATTTGGCAAATAAAGTATTATGAACTGTTGGGCCCTGGGCCCTTGCTGTGTATGTGCACCAGCAAACCCCAGGTTTTGTACTCTATTCAAACAAAAGAAGAGAAACTAAAAGTAGCATTTTTTTAGATATAGAAACCCAGATTGTATTAAATTTTATAAGAGAAATTTGCAGCATAAATATATGTGCTAAATATATATGTATAAATAGATTTAAAATATATGAGTGTGCATATGTATATGTATATGTATATGTATGTGTATATGTTTTGTGGCTAGAGCTGGAGACATACTGTACTGGGGAATTTCATTGAAATATTTGGCTTGATGATTCTAAAATATTTTTAATTTTCTGTTTATTATAATAGTACAAGTTGTAGTGGAAGATGTCTCTGTCCATGTCTCTGTCCAGATTTGACTAGATGATCTTAAAAACCCAAAACATTCAGTTATTCTGTATTTTCATTAATGCAAAGTCAAGGGAAATGAAAAAAAAAAACCAAAAAACTGGATAGAAATAAGCATCCCTATTTTCATACTTGAAATGAAACCATCAGTTCAAAAATGTCAAATTTTGTCAGAGATTTTTTTTTTTTATGTTTTATGATTTTTTTTCCCCCCCTAAATTGAAGACACTACTCAGGTCAAAAAGCAACTGTGCTCATACAAAAATATATTGGTCTATGTGAGATTCTTTATTTTTATATTTGGTGTAAAATATGTATATCAGTTTACCATATGTTTACACCAATTGAAATAATTTTATTCTCACTTGCTCCAAATTGTCAGAAGCCTAAAAATCATGTACTCACACAGTAATCTTTATAAGAGCAGCCTGGCTATTTGTCTTGAGCTACCAACTGGAAAAGAAGAACTAATAGCATCTATATAGCAGTTAATGTGCACTTGTGTTTAATTGGTATCTGCAGCACTGTTAGAAAATTAAGTAAGTAGCCATTTAAGTAAGCAGAAATCTTCATTGCTGTTAGACTGATATTGTTGCTGTTATGCAGGACTCATAAGCTGGGGATAACTCAAGTACCACAACCCAACATAAATCAGCTCTCAAAAGCAATATGGTTCAACGCCATCTTGCTTTTTGGCTTTCATTTTCAATCTGCTGGAGCTTGGCTACAAATAGATCATTTATATTCACACATTTATTTTTAAATAGTTTCCTAATGAAGACTCTGTTCTCTTCATTGGGGTGTGTGTGTGTGTGTGTGTGTTTCATTATTAGAAACCAGAATGTGTGGAAGATTAGTTGTTCCTACTTGAAATGTAAATTGCATAGTGTACCAAAAATATTGCTTATCCTCAGTAAATATTTTATTTGAATTTAATACTATTGTACATTTGTATTAACAAACTTATCCTGATTATAATTGTTTGTTTTATTTTTTTTCTTAGTTCCCCTTTTCAAACCTGGGGGCAAAACATGTTAACTCACAGTGGAATTTGTATAAATATTAGAAATGGCTATATTTGGTGTTAGGGGAACTGTTGCATCAGAAAAGCTGGACAAAGGCAGATTACTTCAAAGTTAGGCATGTAAGACAGGTGTAGATGAATAATAAAATAAGTACTGTTTATCAGTGCAATGATCAGAGAAGATGAAATAATTTTAATCTACTATTTTCAGTATCAAAATTCAAACTAGTTTCAGTAGTACAAACTGAGCTCTAAAATTGTCCACTTTCAGGCCTGACCAAAGCAGTTACCAGTTTTAAAAATCATGTTAAAAAATCAAACCCAAACAAACTACTCCTTTGTTTTCTGTCTATGCTCTGGCACAGTCTTCTTACTGTAAATAATAAGCAAAATACAGCTGGACAAGCTTTGAACCATAACATTATGACTGAATTGGAATAACAATTCATATATCTTCTATTCTCATTGTCCCTATATTTCCTTAAAAAAAAAAAAAAAAAAAAAAAGAAAAAGGATTTTTAGGCTGATTTGACATGATGTATGACATAGGGTACATATTAAGTCAGGGTTAAAATCAGAATGGCTTTTTTGCTTGTTTGTAAAAAAATCAGTGCTGAGAAGCAAGAGAACTTTTAGTAAACTGTCATTTATGAAGAAAATAAAAAAAATGAAGCAAACAAAAAATAATGATCAAATAATGATCACTATCAGATATTTACAAGTTTTGGATTTTGATCAAAGTTTCTGAATAGAAAAAGAGAAATAATTTTGCATTGTTCATACCAAAAGATACCTTGAGAAAACAAATACACCAGAAACATAGGTTATGGGTGACTTTCATACTGAGCATTTACAGAATATTTAGCAGCTGCAAATGGTATCCTCATCTCATTCAATTAAAATATAATAGTTCTGTTTTGAGCAGCAGAGTCAAAACAGAGAAGTAAGTGATGGAAATTGCTCCAAGAGTCAGAGTGAGTAGTACTCAGAAGTGGATTTTTTTCTTGGAAAACGAGTATGTAGCAATTTAAAAGAAGTGAGGTCTTCATATAAAGAAGAATTATCAATATTGCAAGAAGCCTAGTGTTTCACAGTTATTATTTTCACACCATTTGAAAAGAACAGTCACTGGAAAGAATTTTACCGAGGAAGTGCCTTTTGCCTCATACTATGTGCCATACTACATGTCTACTTTCATTATTTTGGAAGTGATGTTTCCTTTTCTCCTCTACTTTTTAAACA